GGGCCCCGCCGCACCCACCCGGGATGGGCGGCCCCTGGACGCCGACTGCGCCGTGGCTCCCTGTGGTGGCCGGGTGGGGGCGGCCCGCGCGGGCGGGGCACTGGGCCGCTCCGCTCCGCTGGTTCTGCTTAAGAATCGTCTATCTCCAACTTTGTTGTCCGTAGCCACACAGTCTTACCAGTGGTATTCTTGGGGTCCCCCTAACATGCAGTGTCGTCTCTGCGCGTCTTGTTGGACGTATTGGAAGAAATACGGTGGCTTGAAAATGCCAACCCGGTTAGATGGAGAGAGGCCAGGACCGAACCGCAGCAACATGGTAAGCGGGACACGCCAGCCCCGCCTGCTGGCATGAGCCGCCGCGGGCCTGGCCCTCGGTCATGGCGCTGTCGGGGCCGCGCGCCCCCTTCCGCAGAGTCCCCATGGCATGCCAGCCCGGAGCAGCGGGAGCCCCAAGTTTGCCATGAAGACGAGGCAGGCCTTCTACCTGCACACCACCAAGCTGACAAGGATCGCCCGGCGCCTGTGCCGAGAGACCCTGAGGCCCTGGCACGCGGCCCGGCACCCCTACATGCCCATCAACAGCGCAGCCATCAAGGCCGAGTGTGAGTCCCCGCCCCACTGGGGCCCTGCTGGGGCCTGGCCTGTGGCCTGACGGCTCCGATCCCTGGTGCTCGCCACCTTTGGGTGTCAGGAAAGGGCCTGGCACCTTGGGGAGCCCTGCTCACACTCGTGTCCCCCACCCCAGGCACAGCCCGACTGCCCGAAGCGTCCCAGAGCCCGCTGGTGCTGAAGCAGGCGGTGCGGAAGCCCCTGGAAGCTGTGCTTCGCTATCTCGGTGAGTGCCGGGCAGGCCCAGCTCCGCTGGCTGGGGTCATGGCAGTGGCCCAGGTCTCCGCGCTGCCTTGGGGACCGTACGCCATGCTCTGCGGGCCCTGGCCAGCCCTGTGCAGCTCCCTGTGGCAGCCCTGGGTCCTGAGGTGTCCAGGCAGTGGGAGGGGCTGCGCATCTTGTCTGCAGGGCGGGGACTCGGCACCCGGCAGGCACCTGGCCTGTGTCTATGACCACCTGTCCCCGGGGACTGGGACCAGGGTTTGGGCTGCCAGGGGAGGCTGAGAGCCTGCTGCCCGCAGGAAGCGTCCTGCCTGAGCCGGGCTTTCACCGGGGCAGCGCTCTGGGCTCTGCAGGCTCTCGCCTGGGTGGGGTGCTCCCCGGCCGTCAGCCTCCAGGGGCCTCCTTGCCTGTGTGGGTCTAGGGACTGCTGGGAGCCTGGTCACTGCCCCCGGCCCAGGCAGGAGCAGCTGCTGTGGGTCTGGCCAGACCCTGGGGTGGGGTTTGGTTGGTGTGCAGGTTCCAGTGGCTGAGCCAGCCTTCTCCGTGTGGGGGCACTGGTGAGCTAAGGGCTTCACGTGCGGTGGTGTAGGCACTGGTCAGGGTAGGGTCCTGGGCCCCAGGGTTGGCCAGGTTCTGCCATCAGCTCTGGTGGCCCGGGTGGAGGCTGTTGGATGGGCCTGCCATGCTGACAGGGCTGCGTCCGGGTG